TTGGAGTTGTCTGAGCTGTTGTAGTTTCAGTAGTTGCAGTGGTCAGTAGTTGCAGTGTCAGTTGATGTTTCAGTTGTCTGAGCTGTTGTAGTTTCAGTAGTTGTAGTGTCAGTTGATGTTTTGAGTTGGCTGAGCTGTTGTAGTTTCAGTAGTTGCAGTGTCAGTTGATGTTTTGAGTTGGCTGAGCTGTTGTAGTTTAGTAGTTGCAGTGTCAGTTGATGTTTGAGTTGGCTGAGCTGTTGTAGTTTCAGTAGTTGTAGTGTCAGTTGATGTTTCAGTTGTCTGAGCTGTTGTAGTTTCAGTAGTTTGCAGTGTCAGTTGATGTTTGAGTTGGCTGAGCTGTTGTAGTTTCAGTAGTTGCAGTGTCAGTTGATGTTTGAGTTGGCTGAGCTGTTGTAGTTTCAGTAGTTGCAGTGTCAGTTGATGTTTCAGTTGGCTGAGCTGTTGTAGTTTCAGTAGTTGCAGTGTCAGTTTGATGTTTGAGTTGGCTGAGCTGTTGTAGTTTCAGTAGTTGCATTGTATCAGTTGATGTTTGAGTTGGCTGAGCTGTTGTAGTTTCAGTAGTTGTAGTGTCAGTTGATGTTTGAGTTGGCTGAGCTGTTGTAGTTTACAGTAGTTGCAGTGTCAGTTGATGTTTGTGTTGTCTGAGCTGTTGTAGTTTCAGTAGTTGCAGTGTCAGTTGATGTTTGAGTTGGCTGAGCTGTTGTAGTTACAGTAGTTGTAGTGTCAGTTGATGTTTGAGTTGGCTGAGCTGTTGTAGTTTCAGTAGTTGCAGTGTCAGTTGATGTTTGAGTTGTCTGAGCTGTTGTAGTTTCAGTAGTTGCAGTGTCAGTTGATGTTTGAGTTGGCTGAGCTGTTGTAGTTTCAGTAGTTGTAGTGTCAGTTGATGTTTCAGAGTGACTGAGCTGTTGTAGTTTCAGTAGTTGCAGTGTCAGTTGATGTTGGAGTTGGCTGAGCTGTTGTAGTTTCAGTAGTTGCAGTGTCAGTTGATGTTTGTGTTGTCTGAGCTGTTGTAGTTTCAGTAGTTGCAGTGTCAGTTGATGTTTGAGTTGGCTGAGCTGTTGTAGTTACAGTAGTTGTAGTGTCAGTTGATGTTTGAGTTGGCTGAGCTGTTGTAGTTTCAGTAGTTGCAGTGTCAGTTGATGTTTCAGTTGACTGAGCTGTTGTAGTTTCAGTAGTTGCAGTGTCAGTTGATGTTTGAGTTGGCTGAGCTGTTGTAGTTTCAGTAGTTGCAGTGTCAGTTGATGTTTCAGTTGCTGAGCTGTTGTAGTTTCAGTAGTTGCAGTGTCAGTTGATGTTTCAGTTGTCTGAGCTGTTGTAGTTCCAGTAGTTGCAGTGTCAGTTGATGTTCCAGTTGTCTGAACTGTTGTAGTTTCAGTAGTTGGAGTGTCAGTTGATGTTTCAGTTGGCTGAGCTGTTGTAGTTTCAGTAGTTGCAGTGTCAGTTGATGTTTGAGTTGGCTGAGCTGTTGTAGTTTCAGTAGTTGCAGTGTCAGTTGATGTTTCAGTTGGCTGAGCTGTTGTAGTTTCAGTAGTTGCAGTGTCAGTTGATGTTTCAGTAGACTGAGCTGTTGTAGTTTCAGTAGGTGCAGTGTCAGTGTTGATGTTTCAGTTGGCTGAACTGTTGTAGTTTCAGTAGTTGCAGTGTCAGTTGATGTTTCAGTTGTCTGAGCTGTTGTAGTTTCAGTAGTTGCAGTGTCAGTTGATGTTTCAGTTGACTGAGCTGTTGTACTTTCAGTAGTTGCAGTGTCAGTTGATGTTTGAGTTGTTTGAGCTGTTGTAGTTTCAGTAGTTGCAGTGTTAGTTGATGTTGGAGTTGTCTGAGCTGTTGTAGTTTCAGTAGTTGCCGTGTCAGTTGATGTTTCAGTTGGCTGAGCTGTTGTAGTTTCAGTAGTTGCAGTGTCAGTTGATGTTTCAGTTGCTGAACTGTTGTAGTTTCAGTAGTTGCAGTGTCAGTTGATGTTTCAGTTGCTGAGCTGTTGTAGTTTCAGTAGTTGCAGTGTCAGTTGATGTTTCAGTTGGCTGAGCTGTTGTAGTTTCAGTAGTTGCAGTGTCAGTTGATGTTTCAGTTGCTGAGCTGTTGTAGTTTCAGTAGTTGCAGTGTCAGTTGATGTTTCAGTTGGCTGAGCTGTTGTAGTTTCAGTAGTTGCAGTGTCAGTTGATGTTTCAGTTGGCTGAGCTGTTGTAGTTTCAGTAGTTGCAGTATCAGTTGATGTTTCAGTTGTCTGAGCTGTCGTAGTTTCAGTAGTTGCAGTGTCAGTTGATGTTTCAGTTGTCTGAGCTGTTGTAGTTTCAGTAGTTGCAGTGTCAGTTGATGTTTCAGTTGGCTGAGCTGTTGTAGTTTCAGTAGTTGCAGTGTCAGTTGATGTTTCAGTTGTCTGAGCTGTTGTAGTTTCAGTAGTTGCTGTGTCAGTTGATGTTTCAGTTGTCTGAGCTGTTGTAGTTTCAGTAGTTGCAGTGTCAGTTGATGTTTCAGTTGTCTGAACTGTTGTAGTTTCAGTAGTTGCAGTGTCAGTTGATGTTTCAGTTGTCTGAGCTGTTGTAGTTTCAGTAGTTGCAGTGTCAGTTGATGTTTCAGTTGTCTGAGCTGTTGTAGTTTCAGTAGTTGCAGTGTCAGTTGATGTTTGAGTTGACTGAGCTGTTGTAGTTTCAGTAGTTGCAGTGTCAGTTGATGTTTCAGTTGGTTGAGCTGTTGTAGTTTCAGTAGTTGCAGTGTCAGTTGATGTTTCAGTTGTCTGAGCTGTTGTAGTTTCAGTAGTTGCAGTGTCAGTTGATGTTTCAGTTGTCTGAGCTGTTGTAGTTTCAGTAGTTGCAGTGTCAGTTGATGTTTCAGTTGTCTGAGCTGTTGTAGTTTCAGTAGTTGCAGTGTCAGTTGATGTTTCAGTTGTCTGAGCTGTTTAGTTTCAGTAGTTGCAGTGTCAGTTGATGTTTCAGTTGACTGAGCTGTTGTAGTTTCAGTAGTTGCAGTGTCAGTTGATGTTTGAGTCGACTGAGCTGTTGTAGTTTCAGTAGTTGCAGTGTCAGTTGATGTTTCAGTTGGTTGAGCTGTTGTAGTTTCAGTAGTTGCAGTGTCAGTTGATGTTTGAGTTGGCTGAGCTGTTGTAGTTACAGTAGTTGCAGTGTCAGTTGATGTTTCAGTTGGCTGGGCTGTTGTAGTTCCAGTAGTTGCAGTGTCAGTTGATGTTTCAGTTGGCTGAGCTGTTGTAGTTTCAGTATTTGCAGTATCAGTTGATGTTTGAGTCGACTGAGCTGTTGTAGTTCCAGTATTTGCAGTGTCAGTTGATGTTTGAGTTGGCTGAGCTGTTGTAGTTCCAGTATTTGCAGTGTCAGTTGATGTTTGAGTTGGCTGAGCTGTTGTACTTTCAGTAGTTGATGTTTGAGCCGTGGCATTACAATATACTGTTGTCGAAAAAACAAAGTAGCAGTCATTATGGAGCCACTGTCACACTTTTACAAGTAATAAGAGAAATAGGCCTAAAGAAATTTCATGATGAGTAACTTACGGACCTAAACTTAACACTGTAATGAGCAGTGCTTTTCTAGTCATCATGGTGGTTGTCGAATAGCTGACCTATAAACATATAATACATAAGATCAGAACATACATGAGGAAATGCATTTCCTTACATGATCAAATTTGACATGTAAAACTAGCAAAAAAAAAAAAAAGAAAGGAAAAAAAACACACAAAAACGTATGAATACAAACAGCTTCTTTCCAGAACAGGAACCTGTGATGACTACTTTTTTGTCTGAACATCAAAAATATTTGTCATGATGAAAGTAGTTATCATAAATAAATAACAAGAAACAAGGGAATAACTGCAGTTCCATTTAGTAGTTTGAAGCCAGTAAGATTTTAAATGTTTTTGACAGAAGCCTATTCTGCTTACCAAGGCTGCAGTTTGGGGCAGTGTCACAATATCACCACAGGATGACAGTATCACAATATCACCACAGGGTGGCAGCCATAGGTTTAAGTCCAGGTGTGCAGTAAACCGTGAGCGATTTTTGGAGCACTGGAAATCTGATTGTTTTTTTTGCCGAATGTCATAATAATTGCTTTTGTGTGTCACTTGATAAGAGGCAGTCTCCGTTATGAACAAATGTGCTGTGAAGAGGCTTAACAGTGAATGAGAGGGCACACTTTTAACAGTTGTACTAGCCTTTTCTTCCCTATGTGCCGAAATCTTAATGAAGCCTCTTCTTGAACAAGAAAATCTGTTACATAATTGTTTAAAAGCCTGATGTATTTATGCTTATTGCCTGTTACTGTAACTAAAGGGAAATTGTGCGTTCGTTTAGTAATAATTCCACATTTCATTAATATTTTCTTTTTTGATTATAAAAAGTGCTGCTGAATTTTGAATTTGTCAAATATATTCAGAATATTGAATGTTGAATATCACGGTTTACTCCAGAGCAGATATATATATATATATATATATATATATATATATATATATATATATGAAGAGTTCAGATGCAAAAGCCTCTAAGTGCCATTTGAAATTTTCTTCTAGAATGATCATTTTTATCAAGCTTATATAGTTAAGTTCAGTAATTTCACTTAAATGGCAATGAAGATTACCTATTAATTGTCATTTAAGTGAAATTACTGAACTTAAATACACAAGCTTGATAAAAATGGCAATTCTAGAACAAAATTTCAAATGGCACTTAGAGGCTTTTGCATCTGAACTCTTCATACATATAAACTAGTTAATTTACAGAAGTTAATAAAAGAAATGAAGCATCACTGAACTTATGCTGAACGAAGGCTATTTTCCTCTAGAAACATACTTTGTTGCATTATTCTCCAGTTATTTCTGTAAAGCTACTTTAAAACAATCTCTATTGTAAAAAGTGCTGTATAAATAAAGATGACTTTACTTGAATATATCAAATTGAAATGTACTTTCCTATATGAAACTACTAAATTTAATTGAACATAGCGAAAATAATGATGGTTTATTATTGGTTAATTTATACATTGAAACAGTTTGAGTGTAACCTAACAGTAAAGAATATTGATTTGGCACCTTCAACAAAGGTTTGGACCGGGGAAATGTAAAGAATTGAGAAAGAATAATTATTGGATCTGTGCATTGGGTCTTTGATAGCATTTATAAACTGCTGTCACTTTGTGTCATCATTCATGTTAATTAAAGAACAAAACACAAATAAAAACATCAAAAATGGATTACTTAATATTACATTTATATCGTGAAGTCCATGCAGTGTTAAAAATTTGTCCCTAACAGAAAACATAAAGCACTGTTTATTTAATTTGTTTCTTTGTTCCGTTATATACGCTTGCAATTTGTTTATTATTTTCTATGCCGATTATTCCACTACAAAATCATCTAATCTTTTGCTAATTATTCATTCTTTTCAAATAGAGCTTTTCAAGTAATCTGCTGAAATTGTTTTCAAATCGCAATATATATAGCAGAAAAACTAAATATTGCAATGTCAGTTTTTCCAATATTGTGCAGCCTCACTTTATATATATATATATATATATGAAGAGTTCAGATGCAAAAGCCTCTAAATGCCATTTGAAATTTTCTTCTAAAATGACCATTTTATCAAGCTTGTATATTTAAGTTCAGCAATTTCACTTAAATGACAATTAATAGGTAATCTTCATTGCCATTTAAGTGAAATTACTGAACTTAAATATACAAGCTTGATAAAAATGATCATTTTAGAAGAAAATTTCAAATGGCATTTAGAGGCTTTTGCATCTGAACTCTTCATATATATATATATATATATATATATATATACAGTAAATATTGGCTATACGGCTAATTATGAGTATAAATATGCATATCTTAATAAGTCAAACTCACCCAAAGCATTGCTTATCTGAATGTAATATCCGACACACAGGTGAAGCTGTGCGACCCCTGATAAACCTGTGTCAAGTCTCATGCTCTCCTCAAAGCTGTTGTTTTTATTAGCTCCGAGTCACATGACACAAACCCACATACTTGTCTCTCTGATTGGTTTTGTTCATTATAGCATTCCATCTTTAGCCAAACTGGATATGTCTACTTCTGCAACAATGCATTCCTCCCTAAGCATGCGGTTTGACGAAATCTCCCATGGAAAGTTCAGTGAGAAGGTGTGTCTCGCTTAAGAGTTTGATGCAGGTACTTACCTCAAAGTATTTAACTATAAAACATCATTCTGTAGGCTGCCTTATCACTTTTAAAGGTATATTACGTGTGTTGATCATGTGTTGCACACTTGTTTAATTTAAGTGATCATATAATGTGAGTCGAACACATTGGACCTCATTGGCTTTTATTGTGTGGATGAATACACATTGATGGAGAACATGCACTATATGAGGGTGAGTAGATGATGGCAGAAATCAAATTTTAGGCTAATTATCCGTCATTAGCGCGGAATGAAAGGTAGACGGATTTCAGAAGAATGGCTTTCTATAAGAAGTGAGGAGCATTTATGGGTACAAGTCGGGAACCGGCCTACCTACATATTTCAAGGGTGCTGAGTCCAAAAAAAATGGTACCCAGGCAAAATTTTGAGTTTGTTACCTTGTAAATTGCATATCAAAATGGCCGCCATCTTGCTCAGTCGTTGGACCGTTATCCCCTAGTTTTTTTTTTTGTAAGTAGGCAATCAAGATGAGGAAATGAATTTTCTAGATCCATAGCAAAGATATATTGGAGGCTCACTGCCTTTATGTATACATATGTGTGCAAAATACCAACTTTTAAGGTGAAATTAAGCATTATTTGTGTAATTTTTTAAGGCCGACATACATATTCAATCACTCTTAAATGTTCCCAGTTTATATATGATATGTGACGCCTCGCAGACACCTCACAGACGCCTCGCAGACACATTGCAGACGCATCGCAGACCCATCGCAGACGCATTGCAGACGCCTCGCAGATACCTCGCAGACGCATCGCAGACGCATTGCAGACGCTCACAGACTGATCGCAGACACATCGCAGACGCATCGCAGACGCCTCGCAGATACCTCGCAGACACATTGCAGACGCATTGCAGACGCTCACAGACTCTCACTGACGGATTGCAGACGCATCGCAGACGCTCACAGACTGATCGCAGACGCCTCGCAGACTCTCACTGATGGATCGCAGACGCATTGACGCCTCGTAGACGCATCGCGGACGCATCGCAGACGCTCACAGACGGATCGTACACACATCGCAGACGCACCGCAGGCGCTCACAGACTGATCGCAGACGCCTCCCAGACGCATCGCAGACTCTCACTGACGGATCGCAGACGCATCGACGCCTCGTAGACGCATCGCAGATGCATCGCGGACGCATCGCAGACGCTCACAGACGGATCGTACACGCATCGCGGACGCATCGCAGACGCATCGCAGACTGATCGTACACGCATCGCAGACGCATCGCAGACGCATCGCAGACTGATCGTACACGCATCGCAGATGCATCGCAGACTGATCGTACACGCATCGCAGACGCATCGTGGACGTATCGCGGACGCATCGCAGACCCATGTTTACTCGTCCTTTGGAAACCTCCTCAAGCCCTCAGATTAAGCCAGGATTAAGCCACATTTAAATATTAAAAACACGGATATGTTTTCAGTTCAAACAGCTCAAACATGGGACTAGACTTAAAGCCTGTCTGTGAAATATGTCTGCAATTGAAGCGTAATCTGTAGTCAATCAGAATGTGCTTTTCTCATAAAGAAAAAAAAAAAGATTTCATAGGGCATACTATACATTTATTCATTTATTAAACTAGTGGATACTTTTGTCCAAAGCAACGTAAGGCTTGTTCACACTACATAGTTTTAAGCCCGATTTGCAAATCGTTGAACGCACGCCAATCTGTTATATATGAAAGAGCCAACAACGCATCAAAGACGCAGGCGCCTCGCAGACGCATCGCAGACGCATTGCAGGCGACTCGCAGACACATCGCATGCGCATCGCAGGCGCATCGCAGACGCATCGCAGATGCCTCACAGGCGGTCGCAGATGGATCGCAGATGCCTCACAGACGCATCGCAGACACATCGCAGATGCATCGCAGGCGCAACGCAGACGCACACAGATGGATCGCAGACGCCTCGCAGGCGCATTGCAGACGCTTCGCAGATGCCTCTCTGACACTCGCAGAAGGATCGCAGACGCATCAGTCGCATCACAGACACCTCGCAGACGCACACAGACGGATCGCAGACGCCTCACAGGCGCATTGCAGACTCTTCGCAGATGCCTCTCAGACACTCGCAGAAGGATCGCAGATGCATCACAGACAGATGGCAGACAGATCGCAGATGCCTCGCGGACACTCGCAGACAGATCGCAGATGCCTCGCGGACACTCGCAGGCGTATCGCAGACGCCTCGCAGACGCTCGCAGACAGATCGCAGATGCCTCGCGGACACTCGCAGGCGTATCGCAGATGCCTCGCGGACACTCGCAGACAGATCGCAGATGCCTCGCGGACACTCGCAGGCGTATCGCAGACGCCTCGCAGACGCTCGCAGACAGATCGCAGATGCCTCGCGGACACTCGCAGGCCTATCGCAGACGGTCGCAGACAGATCGCAGACGCCTCGCAGACACTCGCAGGCCTATCGCAGACGCCTCGCAGACAGATCGCAGATGCCTCGCGGACACTCGCAGGCCTATCGCAGACGCCTCGCGGACACTCGCAGGCCTATCGCAGACGCCTCGCAGACAGATCGCAGATGCCTCGCGGACACTCGCAGGCGTATCGCAGACGCCTCCCAGACGCTCGCAGACAGATCGCAGATGCCTCGCGGACACTCGCAGGCGTATCGCAGACGCCTCGCAGACGCTCGCAGACAGATCGCAGATGCCTCGCGGACACTCGCAGGCGTATCGCAGACGCCTCGCAGACAGATCGCAAATGCCTCGCGGACACTCGCAGGCCTATCGCAGACGCCTCGCAGACAGATCGCAGATGCCTCGCGTACACTCGCAGGCCTATCGCAGACGCCTCGCAGACAGATCGCAAATGCCTCGCGGACACTCGCAGGCCTATCGCAGACGCCTCGCAGACAGATCGCAGATGCCTCGCGGACACTCGCAGGCGTATCGCAGACGCCTCGCAGACGCTCGCAGACAGATCGCAGATGCCTCGCGGACACTCGCAGGCCTATCGCAGACAGATCGCAGATGCCTCGCGGACACTCGCAGGCCTATCGCAGACGCCTCGCAGACAGATCGCAGATGCCTCGCGGACACTCGCAGGCGTATCGCAGACGCCTCGCAGACGCTCGCAGACAGATCGCAGATGCCTCGCGGACACTCGCAGGCGTATCGCAGACGCCTCGCAGACAGATCGCAGATGCCTCGCGGACACTCGCAGGCCTATCGCAGACGGTCGCAGACAGATCGCAGACGCCTCGCAGACACTCGCAGGCCTATCGCAGACGCCTCGCAGACAGATCGCAGATGCCTCGCGGACACTCGCAGGCCTATCGCAGACGCCTCGCGGACACTCGCAGGCCTATCGCAGACGCCTCGCAGACAGATCGCAGATGCCTCGCGGACACTCGCAGGCCTATCGCAGACGCCTCGCGGACATCGCAGGCTTATCGCAGACGCCTCGCAGACAGATCGCAGATGCCTCGCGGACACTCGCAGGCCTATCGCAGACGCCTCGCAGACAGATCGCAGATGCCTCGCGGACACTCGCAGGCCTATCGCAGACGCCTCGCAGACAGATCGCAGATGCCTCGCGGACACTCGCAGGCGTATCGCAGACGCCTCGCAGACGCTCGCAGACAGATCGCAGATGCCTCGCGGACACTCGCAGGCGTATCGCAGACGCCTCGCAGACGCTCGCAGACAGATCGCAGATGCCTCGCGGACACTCGCAGGCATATCGCAGACGCCTCGCTGATGCCTCGCTGAGCCCAGAAAAATATCTAGCATGCTAGATATCCAGAGCTGTCGCACGCCTCAACCTCAGTGATGTCATGAGCCACAGCCAATCAGAGCAAGGCATGGGTTGAGGTCAGTCTTCTCCGCTGGGTATTGGCGCACGTGCTGCTTCGCGTCTTTTTCCAGTTCGTTGTAAGGCGTGATTTTTTCGTGACAAAACGTGGTTTGTAGACGAGATAGAATTGTTGGGTGACAGAGTTGTTGAGTTGTTGTTGTCAAATGGTGCGTTACCTCCTGTTGCGGATCAATCACGTTGTGTCGTGTGGTGTGAACACTCCTGATTTCACAGAGAGCCAGTCATGTAATGTGAATCCTACAGTTCAGCCCCACGTTTGAAAATCATAAGCTTTAAATCATAAGCAATTTGTCATAGGAGTCAACAATATTCATAATATATTCAGGTGCCTATGGAACGATTAAATCTATTATTCGGTCACTCGAAGAAGACTCATTGAAAGTGTTTTTATTGATATTTTGTTGTTTTCAGTCTGTAAGTTGTGACTGTGACTGCTGT